CCACCCCGTATCCCCGTAAACGCTTACCAATCTTCCTTTTCAGACGCCCTCCAAGAAGCGTGGACGTCCCAAGAGCTATACGGTCAGTTAAAGAAGACGCAGGGTGTCCCGAAACAAAACCGACGCCGAGGTTTGGGCCAGGGAATTCTTGGACGTCGGAATTTTTGAACTCTAGCCTTTTTGCACGTCCAAACGGGGGCGCAAAAGGTCTTCACAAAAATTTTATAGAATTTAATAGGGGTTTACAGGGCTAGAAAGAGAGGGCTAAAATTGATCGACTTTTTTCGTTACTTTCAATATACAGCCGATAAACAGTGTAGATGGTAAAGGTTAGCCTGAAAAAATTCCTCAGGGGAGATCAGAGTCGTCAAAATTTGGGTCGGAACTCGGTCAAATTTGGGATCGCTAATTTTTCGCCGTTTTTGGGACACCCTGTCTTTACATAGAAACGCCCTCAAGTTCATCTAGGAGGGGTGGTGCACTGGGTGCCCTCGAGAGGACGGCATCAAGCCGGTGTCCAGCGCGTTGTACGCCGTTCCCGCGTGCGCCGACTGCGCCAAAACGTTCAGGTTTGTGACTGATCGTTCCAGATTTTCGGTCACCCGATCGATAAATCGGTAAAGGTTGCTTAAGGGGGGGGATGAGGGATCGAAAGTCACCATTCCGAAAAGTCACCATTTAACAGTAGCCCATATCCCAGTCGCAGGAAAAATCTGGTTTTATTTGGCTGGTTCGAGGTTCGAGCGTCTATTTTTCCACTGGAGATACAGTTATTTTCATTATATGTAGACACCACCAAAAGATTTTCTATTACATCCCTAGTCATCTGACAACGCCGCCAAAAATAGTAATTTTTTCGAGACTACAAGTCTTATACCCACATCGACAAGGTCTTTTCGAACTGGAGATTTTTCGAAATTTGGATTTTCGAAATGCCGATTTTTCGAACCCCCCTCCCTCCCCATGACATTCCCGAACCTCTGTTTTACAGCCAGTTGGCCGCGAGGGCCAAGGAATCGCCGGGTTGCAGTCTTGCATACTGCACCGAACGTAGTGGGTTTTATTTGTCAAGGGACAAGCTAGGTAAAAAGTTTTATAAACGGTAAAATAATTGGGTATCGGTCGTGGAATGTTCCCCGGCTCATGAAAACACTTTCCAGGGCGCTGCAACTGGTGCGTCTACCAGGAATGGATCGCCAAAGGCTTCAAAGAAAAAGTCCCGCCGGCCGCCTAATCGACCACCACTGAACGAACCCTTGCCGACAATTGACGGATATTTGAACTTACTAAACTGAATTACATTGTGATTTTATTGATTTTTACTGAGTTGAATCCGCGACTGGCATTCTCGAATAAAGTAATTGTAATATCCCCATAAACAAGATGGGATGGAGAGAGGGCCAGCTAGCAGAGACCATTTGGGATGGAGAGAGGGCCAGCTAGCAGAGACCATTTTTTGAGGGAGGGGAGAGGGGCCAGCTAGCAGAGACCATTTGGGATGGAGAGAGGGCCAGCTAGCAGAGACCATTTGGGAGAGGGGGAGGGAGAGGGCCAGCTAGCAGAGACCATTTGGGATGGAGAGAGGGCCAGCTAGCAGAGACCATTTGGGATGGAGAGAGGGCCAGCTAGCAGAGACCATTTGGGATGGAGAGAGGGCCAGCTAGCAGAGACCATTTGGGAAGGAGAGAGGGCCAGCTAGCAGAGACCATTTGGGGGAGAGAGGGCCAGCTAGCAGAGACCATTTGGGATGGAGGGAGGGCCAGCTAGCAGAGACCATTTGGGATGGAGAGAGGGCCAGCTAGCAGAGACCATTTGGGATGGAGAGAGGGCCAGCTAGCAGAGACCATTTGGGATGGAGAGAGGGCCAGCTAGCAGAGACCATTTGGAAGGAGAGGGGGCCAGCTAACAGAGACCATTTGGGAGGGAGAGAGGGGCCAGCTAGCAGAGACCATTTCGGAAGGAGAGAGGGCCAGCTAGCAGAGACCATTTGGGAGGGAGAGAGGGCCAGCTAGCAGAGACCATTTGGGAAGGAGAGAGGGCCAGCTAGCAGAGACCATTTCGGAGGGAGAGAGGGCCAGCTAGCAGAGACCATTTGGGAGGGAGAGAGGGCCAGCTAGCAGAGACCATTTGGGAGGGAGAGAGGGCCAGCTAGCAGAGACCATTTGGGAAGGGAGAGAGGGCCAGCTAGCAGAGACCATTTCGGAAGGAGAGAGGGCCAGCTACAGAGAGACCATTTGGGGAGGAGAGAGGGTCAGCTAGCAGAGACCATTTGGGAGGGAGAGAGGGCCAGCTAGCAGAGACCATTTGGGAAGGAGAGAGGGCCAGCTAGCAGAGACCATTTGGGAAGGAGAGAGGGCCAGCTAGCAGAGACCATTTGGGAGGGAGAGAGGGCCCCGCTAGCAGAGACCATTTGGGAGGGAGAGAGGGCCAGCTAGCAGAGACCATTTGGGAGGGAGAGAGGGCCAGCTAGCAGAGACCATTTGGGAGGGAGAGAGGGCCAGCTAGCAGAGAACCATTTGGGAGGAGAGAGGGCCAGCTAGCAGAGACCATTTGGGAAGGAGAGAGGGCCAGCTAGCAGAGACCATTTGGGAGGAGAGAGGGCCAGCTAGCAGAGACCATTTGGGAGGGAGAGAGGGCCAGCTAGCAGAGACCATTTGGGAGGGAGAGAGGGCCAGCTAGCAGAGACCATTTGGGGAGGGGAGAGAGGGGCCAGCTAGCAGAGACCATTTGGGAGGGGAGAGAGGGCCAGCTAGCAGAGACCATTTGGGAGGGAGAGAGGGCCAGCTAGCAGAGACCATTTGGGAAGGAGAGAGGGCCAGCTAGCAGAGACCATTTGGGATGGAGAGAGGGCCAGCTAGCAGAGACCATTTGGGAGGAAAAAAGGAGAGGGTCAGCTAGCAGAGACCATTTGGGAGGGAGAGAGGGCCAGCTAGCAGAGACCATTTGGGAGGGAGAGAGGGCCAGCTAGCAGAGACCATTTGGGATGGAGAGAGGGCCAGCTAGCAGAGACCATTTGGGAGGGAGAGGGGCCAGCTAGCAGAGACCATTTGGGAGGGAGAGAGGGCCAGCTAGCAGAGACCATTTGGGAAGGAGAGAGGGCCAGCTAGCAGAGACCATTTGGGAGGGAGAGAGGGCCAGCTAGCAGAGACCATTTGGGAGGGAGAGAGGGCCAGCTAGCAGAGACCATTTGGGAAGGAGAGGGCCAGCCAGCAGAGAGCCATTTGGGAGGGAGAGGGCCAGCTAGCAGAGACCATTTGGGAGGAGAGAGGGCCAGCTAGCTGAGACCATTTGGGAGGGAGAGAGGGCCAGCTAGCAGGGACCATTTGGGAGGGAGAGAGGGCCAGCTAGCAGCGACCATTTGGGATGGAGAGAGGGCCAGCTAGCAGAGACCATTTGGGAGGGAGAGAGGGCCAGCTAGCAGCGACCATTTGGGATGGAGAGAGGGCCAGCTAGCAGAGACCATTTGGGATGGAGGGTCCAAGGATTCAAGGGTCCAAGGAGGAACAAAGAGGGTCCCCGCTTTTTCTCAACAAAAACTTAATTCTAATATAGAAAATAGAGTAATTCGCAAAATCTGATGTGCCGGCAGCCATCTCGGGACCATTACGCACCTAATGACGTATCATTAGGATTTTCGGCATTCTGAATCTCGACATTATTAAATCTCGAGCTTTTGAGGTTTCGGCATTTTGAACTCCGACTGGTTAAAATTGTGATGTGATGTCATGTAAATAATCTATAATAAATTATGGATACGGTGAATTAACTGTAGGCAGCGAAAACACAAGCTTACGGACGAATGTGTCTTTTTCTTTCGACGTACATAATTACGGTTTTGAGCTTATTTTAGGGTTTTTTAGCTAAATTTTCCTCCCATTTCTCGACGGAATCGGAATCAGCACAGCCGAATTACCGAATTAGTCCGACTTAATCGATTTTACATGCTGTTAAACCGGTTATGCATAGATTCTTGTTATGTGTTGATCAGAGAAAGACCAAGTGTTGCGGAGTCGAAACACATGGTTTTCAAAAAAGGAAGTTTAAGGCGTTGAATCGCAGCAAAAGGTGTTTCACCAAACTGCCACTATCATGAATGACGCACAGTGATAATGAGACCTTGCCATGTATTCCAGTCGTCACTTTATTTCGGAACAAGTTAGATGTGGCAGGGTGACCCAAAAAAAGTCGAGCCCGATCTAGCGGTCTGGAGGATGCCCGGAATGGGATGATTTTTACACAATTCGAAAGATCTTAAAAAGGCAATAGCGTTAGGGGGGGGGGGGGAGGGGAGGGGTCAGGAGGGGGAAACTACTTTTGATTTGCCACATATGCCTTTACTGGTCTGATGCGTTCCCGTCAGTTACTAAAAACAGCCCGCCCTGTTTTGTGTGATCTCTGCTACAGTACCACCCTTGGCAAAGTAAATACCCCCTCCCCCCGCCACTGATCATATCACTTTTCCGATGATGATATTTGGGGGCGGGGCCCAATACATGGAAAAGCTGGAAAAAATGGGTTGCAAACCGATGGCCAGGCGGATTTCTCTAAAGATGTTTTGTTCTCTTATGTATCTCGGTTCCCCTTAGTCCCACTGGGCTGTAAGATATACCAAAATACTACCCAGATCAACACGAACATTTTGGTATGCTTAACACACCTGTAGATGAACAGAGAGCCAAGATGCAAGAGTTGCGGGCCGGTTGGCGGGTGTAAAATACCGACATGTTTCATCCAACTGGCTGTAAAAATAGCTGGTACTGTTCCAGATTCTTTCATTGAATGTCTTCTTACATTTCCTTCATTTTTTGCGTAATTACTGTAATCTTAAGATAATTCTTGCCCAAAATAAAAGAAATAGTAAGAATTCTCTCGCACGCTGTCTCTCTGTTGCTCTCTCTCTCTCTCTCTTTCTCTCTCTCGCTCTCTCTCTCCCTCTCTCTTTATCTCTCTCTGAAGAGATCTCCAAGTATTTACTGGCGAAATTTACAGCAACAGCGCGCAATTTATTTTAGGGGGACCGATACCTGGATTCACGTTATTTTTCGTCACCAAGCTCCCTCCAATTCTGCAACATTGTTTTCCGGCGACAATTTTCCGTAACACCGAATAGACAAAGAAGAAGTTTTTTAAGCAAAAATTTTCATTTTTTAAATTTTCAAAACGTCAATCGCTTGAGCGTAAAAAAATATACAAATAGGAATTATTTGCAGCACAAAAAAAGTATCTCAGAAATATTTTACAGCATCAACACTATTGCTGCAAAATTATGGGCAACACATAGGATAACGGGGGCCCTATTTGGAATATTTTCGATATTTTGTATAGGCCAGTCGAAAGAGAGCCGAAAAATATGCTTGAGAGCTTTTATAGCCTGAAAACCTATATTTAAAACTATTTTTATTATTAAAAAAATCTTGTTCCTCGGTTAAAATGCGGCGGTGAAAGAAACGTACAGTCTAGATTCAAGGGCCGCAGCCATGCATCAAATATATCAACAATTTCGTGAAACACAAAAATTTAATGCCTAAAATCGTGGGATTTTTAAGATTTCTAGAGTTCCTTGTGTTACAGATTGTATTCTTCATTCTATTCGGCATTTTCGCCCGCTACGATAATGAGTCGATGCCCTCAAGTGGGAATCCGGATACGGAGAACCCGCTCACCGTCACCGCCACTTATCCGAGTCGGTTGAATTTTAATGTTACGAAAAAATGCCCCTTTGTGGAAAGTAATAAATCAGTAGTGCCGTCTCTCTATATGTGTTTGTGTGGTCCCGGATTCAACTCGAAGGGGAAAGGAGCTAGAGCTTAGCTCTCTTCAGATTCGGATAGAGCGTGGTCAGAAACCCTCAAACTGATAAAAATTATGAAAAAGGTTTAATTTAAATTATTAAAATTTTTGCGCATCTTTTGATATTACTTTCAGCTTACAGCAAACTTTCCATCTTGACGAAAACCCGGAAAAACTGTTTTGACTACGCGATATTCCTATGTTCCGGTCATTTTCGTGCTTCGCAATGTATTACAAAAATGATCAGCGCCTGAAATTAGATATTATCCTGAAGTCTATATTCCTATATAAGTCTACCAGCCGATTACAGCCGCTTCGCGACTGTAATCGTCTGGCCTTCGGGCTACCCCCCATATTCTACACCCCCATAGCCGAAACCGCCTTCAAAAACTACCTAAATACCTTCCCGATGGCTTCAGATACCCCCCATGGCTGCAATCC